TTTTTTTACGACCTCGCTTTAATGTTAACCGCTTATTCCGGCCTCTCACTGCCCCTGTCCAGGGGTCTGACCTCTCATAAGTGCCTGTGAAGTAGGCATCTAACAGACCCTTCAATGCACATGCATGGTGGCATAGCATCTGACTCAGCGGACATGCTGTAAAGTCACAGTGAAGCCTGCACAGTGGCAGCGATAGTGACGGTGTTTAACTTTATGTTTTTTCGTAAAGACAGTTATGTTAACCCAATAATAAACTGCGCATAGACTAAGGGGAGGGTTGCTGCCACAGCAGACTTGGCTGACACCCTGTCAAGGATCCCCCCCTAGTCTAGCTGTGTGTAATAAATGAATTTATTACAAATACCTGCCAAGTTCATCTTATTACTCGATCGTCAAACATTTATCGCAGAATTCAATTAAAGCCCATAATTGCAGCGCCCTATCGTGCGTCGAAATCAGCTTTCTGCAAAGGTTGAGGTCAGTTGTAGTCCAGTCACACACATGAATGGCCCAATTAGGGACAAAAATGATTGTGCCACATGATCAGTTATCGAAGTAAATGCGCAATCAAACTGTTAAACGAGCAGCGGGTGAGGATTCAGCTGGAGAGACAACACATAAAACATTTCAATTAATAATACATTACTGCTTTTTCTTTTAAAAACCCTAAACAAAAAGTACGCACACACGCTTACATACCTGTTAGTGTTTCGCGGTGAAGAATTCATCAGATGCCATCGAGGAAAAGCATCATCCGTGCTGAGTTAAAAGTTGCCCGGTCGTTGCGTCCAGCACTGGGAGGCGAGCGGGAGGAGCCGGGGAGCGCTCGGTGCCATTGCGCACGGGCGAATGTGGATGTTGAGAGCTCGCAGATGAAACTCCAGTCTCGCTCGCTCACTTCATTTCCCCCCCCACCGGCTCTCGGTGGCTATGAGGCTTTCTACGGTGAGCTTTCTGCGGCCACACCGGAGTTGTTGTGGCTACATCAGGTGTCCTTAGTGACGCCGTGGCTAATTATTAATCTGAGGATAAAATGATTGCGTGTCAGTGCTATGATAGATGTTTTTGTATATCTGCGTTGTGAGTTAAAATCCCCCCCCCTCATCAGTATGACCCTGACACAGTCTCGCAGTCTGGGTCGTGCTTTGCTGGAAGTGATATTGGAATAAAAATAGCCAGATGCTGGCCTCATAAAACAACTAAATGAAAGACCTGTGGGGCATTACCTGGGTGCTTGAAAACATGTGTAAACCATCGCGCCATTATCTTTATGGGCCCCTTTATAACCCTGCGACATAAGAAATACCAAAAAGAAAAAAGAAACTCTATGCAGATAAAGAATACCAGGAGCTTTTTGCCTTATATCTCTCTGCTCTCATCCAATGCGTCCCCCCCCTCTGTCTACATGGCATTTTAAGATAAGAGGAATCAGTACTGCACGAGCCCCTACAGCGCGCACCAAATAAGTGAGATCTGGAAGAAACAACACGAAGGAGGGTGCCATTTTTCCCATTCATGTACACATTCCAGCTCGCAAAGAAGGAAGAAAAAAAATTAACTGGAGAAAATTCAGTTAAAGTCCTGTGAGGGAGGTTTAGCGCAACAGCCGTTTTGGAGACAAATAAAGGCCAAGTGGTTTACATTTCCAGAATTTAAAAAAAAATTCAAAACAGAGCCATGTAGTCGACTTTATTACAAAGCCTTGGCAGAGTGCATTTTAAAAGGCAGCGAGCAGCAGGAAGTTAATGGCCTGTCCTGTGTAACTGCAGCCGCTGACAAACAATCGCCCACTGATCATTTTTCACCCTGAACCACCTGTCAGTTTGTGTTTTAACTCATGTAAAAGTGCCTAAATGTCCTTGGTTCCCACTGGAAATCTGACCCATCCTTCTTGTCTGCAGAAGCTTTCTGGCATATATATATATCTTCTGCCGTATAGAGCTCTGGATACTTCTAATATGTGCTGTAGGTGGCATGTGTTTGGAACCTGATGAAATTTTATGATGTCCCACATCCACAACACAGGATACATTTTGTCTTTGGATGATGTTGCAGTGCAGTCACTCGAAACCATTAATGTCCATTAAATCCAGACACCCTTTGCTCTCTTTATGTTCATCTCCTCCAAATTCATCATTTAGGGTGTGCACTCAATTCCCTCCATACATCCACACATACACATCAACTCTTTCACCCATGACACGCCGGCTGTATGGATACTATGCAAATAGCTCTGATCAGAAAGGGACGGAAGCTGAAAAGTGAAGTGGGATCAGTTTCCGCTTTTGAATGAGAGCTGCACAGACCTTGGCCAGCTCGAGCTCCTGACAGCCGCTCACAGAGCTGTTACTCACGGGATGTATATCAGCGCAGACTAATACCACTGTGAAGGTCAGTCCTTATAGGGCATGGTACAATAATAAAAAGAACAGTGTTGGAGAGTAAATGGAAATAAGCACTTAGAGTTGGCCGGCACTTTGCTGCTATCTGCTGGCAGTCAGGCTGAACTGCTGTTATTCCAAATTGAAATAATTCAGTGCATGTGCGGGTATGTTCACACTGCAAAAGGACCAAAAAATGAAACTCAGGAGAACATATTAGGAGACATGTTAAATGGAAATAAACACAGTTGAATAATTACGTAAAACATGATAATAAAAGCCTATGGATTGCTTATTTATTCATTAGGTATTCTAAAGAGCTTTATTTTATTTTATTTTATTTTAATTTATTTGTTTTCCCCTTGTTGTATCGATTGATTGTGAAACCTAGCCCCACCCTTCATGTCATTTGCACATCCTGGGTCAAATGG